TATGCAGTGCGTGTGGTGAGGAAGAAGAAACTGCTGAACACTTCATAATGTTGTGTAAAGGGCTTCACGCTATAGTTCAGGATGATGGCGAAGAGTTTTCAAAGCACTGGGGTTTAGGTACAGTGAGGGCAAAATAGACTTTAAGCGGGTAGAAATAACTAGAAGTAGGTTATCTGATTGGTGGCTAAAGTCAAGGCACGAGTGAAAGTTAAGCCCTTCACTGCAAAGTACGAATCCTTAACCTCACTATTTGAGGAAAAAAAAATAAATCTGCTTTTTGGTTCACTAAGTGTTACGGCTGGGTGGCGCTAGCCACCGCCCGATCTAAAGCGTACAGCCATATCCAACCATCCATCCATTCATCCCAGATACAAAAATCTGGGCGTATAAATAAGCAATGAGGACGAGTACCTAAGGGAACACGAAGTATACGTGTCGACTAAAGGTAACAGGAATGCAGCGGTGATGAAAAACAAGGCACCGTGGAATTACCATAGGTATGATGTTTTGAGAAGAATATGGAAAGGGGCCATGGTTCCTGCTTTGACGTTCGGCGATGCGGTCTTGTGCATGAGATCAGAAGTTCAAGCAAGATTGGAAATTAAGCAACGTGGAATAGCTAGGTTTGCCTTAGGAGTGAACCAACAGATGATGCTGAAAGAAAATGGGAAATCTTTCTAAGCTGTAAAAGGGATGCATCCCTTCTGATCCATGAAAAGATTAGAAGAGAGCTCAGTGACTGGAAGAAGTACATAAAAAGATAGAAACGCAGCTCCGAAAGTGTGGAACCATCTTAACTCCCTAAGAATTGTGACGAGAATAGAGCAGAGATTTATAACTACAGCTCAATAAAACTTGTTTTGGGGCTAGTTGGTTATTTGTCATATTTCAAGATATTTAGCGCAACCTCAACTTTCGCAAACACTCGCACAATAACCCGAGAAGCACACAGAGCATACAACGCTGTATGCTCTGTGTGTTTCTCGGGTGGTTGTGTGAGTGATTGTGTGAGTGTTTGCGGAAGTCGAGGTTGCGCTAAATATCTTGCACTATACCTACAGCTCAAGGTGCTAGGCTTGACAGGGACAAAGCTATTGAATCTATAAGAACAAAGGTGACAGAAAAATTTCAACAAAGAAGTGCTTTATGCACCACAAAAAACAAGGATGAAGTAAGTGGCGCAATGACTCGATTCTCACAAAGAGAGTGGGAAAGGGCTGAGAGGAGGGTTCCTAGTAGTACATCAACAGGCCCAGATGGCATTCCAATCATGTTGATGAAGACCTTAGGTTCGAACGTCTAAGCAGGCTTTGAGAGAGGCAGTGAGCAAAATAATGTATGGTGAAGACCCCGATGGATGGAAATTTAGCAGGATGAGCATGATCTATCAAGGAAAGGGGGACACAGCTGACACAAAGAACTACCGCCTTATAACAGTGACATCAATGGTCTACAGGCTTGCGATTCAGATTATGAAGGAAAGACTGCAGGCATGGATATAGGACGAGGGGGTGCTGGGGGAACTGCAGAATGGGTTTTCGAAACAGAGGAGGTTGGAATGAAATGTGTTCTCACTGATGGAGTGCATCGAAATAGCCGAAAAGAAACTCAGGCCCCTGTGGCTAGCACTTTCGGATATCAAGGGAGCGTACGATAGCGTGGTTTCAGAGGACTTGTGGAAAATACTGGACACACTAGGTGTGGAAGATGGAGTCAATAATACAGTTATAAAGTGGGAAAAGCAGGTATCCAAGCCTGCAGAGGTAACACGGTGACTTAGGCAAAGGTGTCCACTGTCAGCCTTGGTATTAATGATGTACCTACATGTATTAGAGGCCAATTTACGGGGAAGTGGACTGGGTTTCAACCTCTCTTTCGTCAAACAAGGAAAACTTATTGAACAGGCACTACCAGCATTGATGCAGGCAGATGATATTGTGTTAATGGCTGGACGATTTGCAGAAATTGATGGACATCTGCGCTAATGAGGGAGATAGGTTAGATTTCAGATTCAATAACAAAAAAGCAGCAGTCATGTTTATTATTGATAATAAAGGTAATGTGCTTAGGATACAGGTGGTCACGCTAGAGATAACAGATAAATACAAATATATCGGCTTACGGATAAGGAATGGGGCCTAGTACTCAAGGGAACACGAAATATACGTGACGACTAAAGGTAAGAGGAATGCAGCGGTGATGAAAAACAGGGCACCGTGGAGTTACCATAGGTATGATGTTGTGAGAAGAATATGAAACGGGGCCATGGTTCTTGATTTGACGTTCGGCGATGCGGTGTTGTGCATGAGATCACAAGTTCAAGCAAGATTGGAAATTAAGCAACGCGGAATAAGTAGGCTTGCCTTAGAAGCTAACGGGAATACACTAAATCAGGAAGTACAAGGTGATATGGGATGGACATCATTTGAGAGCAGGGAAGCTAGCACCAAGTTAAAATTTGAGAAGCGATTGAGAGAAATGAAGGAGGAGCGTTGGGCTAGGAAGGTATGCAGCTACTTGTACATGAAGAATGTCGATACAAAAAGGAAGAAGCGAACCAGAAAATTGACTGGTAAATACTTAGAAAAGAGCATGGGGCCAAACCAAAAAGAACTGTCGGTTAACAAGAAGGGGAAGGAAGCTGAGGCCAATATGTGGAGAATTGGCATGATTAAGAAGTCCGCACTAGAGATTCATCGAACTTTTAATCAAGAAATTGCCAAGGAAAGGATTTGTGATAATACTCGGGGTAGTTCTCAACTGTTTGAGGTCAGGACGGGAGTAATGCGAACCAAGACATATCGGGCCAAATGCGAAGGGGTAGACATGGTATGCAGTGCGTGTGGAGAGGAAGAGGAAACTGCCGAACACTTGAAAATGTTCTGTAAATGGCTTCACCCTATAGCTCAAGATAATGGCGCAGAGTTTTTCTAAGCACTGCGGTTTAGGGACAGGGAGGGCAAAATAGACTTTAAGTGGGTAGAATTAACTAGAAAAAGGTTATCTGATTAGTGGCTAAAGTCAAGGCACGAGTGAAAATAAACCGTTCACTGCAAAGTACGAGTCCTCAACCTCACAATTTAAATAAAAAAATAAATGAATGTAGTCTGTGGTTCACTAAGTAGTACGGCTTCATGGCGTTCGCCAGCGCTCGATCTAAAAGGTACAGCCACATCATTCCATCCATCCATCCTCGATGCGCTCGTTCGCCTCCGCTGCACGCTGGAGGCACTATAACGCAGTGCCTTCGAAATACCATTCACCGATTTTCTCGCGTAGAACATCAAACAAATGTTTTGTTCACTCTCTCCACATTCAAGACTATCGTCTTTTGACGACATTTGCAGATTACATGCAGATACGCGGCCAATTTTTATCATATTGTTTTTTAACATGGTTTACTGTCTTTTTTATATGTTTTTGCACTCTGTACAGTAACCTCAGTTGGAAGATGACACTCGTCGTCCTCTTGCCCCTTTGTCATCGTTCTCATCTCACGCAATAACAATCGTTGTACCACCTTGCCCAAACCGCCATGATTCTAAGTTACATTTATAGTTATCCGGGCTCCTTTCGTGTTTCATCAATCAGTCCTCATAACATTCATCGCAGTCTCCATTTGCTGTGCACGCACCTTCACCCTTAGCGTTAACGCCAAGCAGCTGCCTCTGGACGTTAAAGCTTTGTTTGGTGGTTAGCACATTTCTATCGACCATGTTATACGGGCGTGTCAAATTTTTCGTTCTGAATGGCACCGAGAAGTACGTGCCACGATACCCTGCTTGTTCAGCTTCAACAAACGGATCTTCCACCTGGAGTGAAGAAGATGGCGAGATTGCTGCGACCGAAGCGAACACACAGCAAACAATTTGTGGACCCATAAGCTAACTAGCCTTCTTGCTCAGTGCCCAACCAAGTCTCTGCAATCGGATGTGGTCCACTCTTGCAGTGATGTCGTTCTTTCGAACTACGTGCACAGCATCCTCATCTTAGGGCCGAAATTCACTATCGACCAAGAAGGGTTTCCACCAGATCTTCTTTCAATGGCGTGCTCTGTTTCTAGGCGGACGTCGTCAGAGTATTCAATGAAAGCCGAAAATTGCGCTGCAGGATAACACTTTCCGCGTTTTTTGGGTGTCTTAGTATTTAATAGTTTATAATGACAACTCCTGCAGATGACAATGATTTAAAGATCTCAATTGTATTTTAAATTCATGTACCACAGACAAGTCGCGACATGTGTGGATGAACAAATTCCCACTGAAAATGAGCAGTTAAAGAACCCGGCATACTTGCTGATCGTGGCGATGATAGTCGTGTACCATCGGTACTTTTATCAGCTGTAAGACACGTAACCATTGACACTTGTTACACCGAAGATTCCAGCGTTATTGTTCCACAATGATCTCCTGTATTCGCGTTGTGAGCGTAACCTAAACAGAAGATTCAATATTAGTGAGAACGTTAGTCACCATGTCCCGCTCAGCCTACACGTTGCAGTGAATACACGTGCGACTGTGCAGTTACATAAAAATAGAAGCACTCATAGAAAAAGTTACTTTGATAGTAAGTTCTGATTGCTTTGATAAGGTTTGAGTGATGTGGTTGCTGACGCATGTAAGTACCAAAATTTTTACGTCATCCCGAAGAGGTGTACGATAAACAAGCGAAAAATATTATTACGGTACGATGCTATTAGAAGATCATCGAGGGTCTATTAGTCATTCGTGTTCTTGCGGTAACAACTTGCAAAAACCAAATGCTAGACAAAAATTCACAAACTAACCTTTCACGCTTCGTTTGGGTTTGTTAAATCAGTCAGTTGTACAGCAAATCATATTGCTAGTACTGTGGTCACGTTATTACCCAGTGTCAAAAATGTTTGCTTAAGTTCACCAATTTCGCTTTTACTTTTCAAGCGGGTGCATGGCAACCATTTTGAGGGATTATTAATGTGAATACGTCAGCGTGAATAGGACAAAGATCAGCGGATAACCAACCTCGTCCAGCCTACGCCGCCCAAGGAACACCTTTGCCACGTGGGGAGGCAACACGTTGTAGACGAGCGCCTCGTTCTTGCGGCGCATGTCCGCCACCTTCTCCTTCTGCTCCTCCACGTCTTTTCTCCACAAGAACAGCCGCCGAGATGTAAGCTCGAACTGTAAGTCGTTTAAAAGGTGCTATTTTAATGTTATTCAGACAATAACGTGACATGTGTTCATAGCCACCACAATGCCGCTGCACGCAAGCACGCGTGTAGATGTGAAGGACAACTGAGAAAATGCATTGGCAATCCTGCCCACAGTTCTAAAAATTGGGGGACCCTTAAGCTTCGCCTACACGAGTTCGACGCGAAAGCGATATTCTGTTCCCAGTGCTGTATTTCAAGTACTTAGTATATGAAAAAAATATGTTCGATGTTCGCCAGCGCAGCAATGTATCACTCTAAGTCAAAAGAGAGCAACGGGGGTATAGGGGTTCCTTCTTTCCGGCAGCAATCACATTACCACTCCCACAACTCCCCTAAAAGGAGTAACTTCAGGGGATTCATCCCCCGAAGTTCCTCTTTCGGGGGATGAACAGTTAGTTCCTCCAACTGCTCACTGAGAACCAACCGTAACTCCCACCCATTGCTCCCCGAAGACCAAAGGTTAGTCTTGACCGTTACTCTCGCGTTTTCGTAGTGAATCTCTGAGGAGCGACTGCTCACGCTTCCAGTTACTCCTGGTGGGAATGAATTCTTAATCTTGTCAAACGCTGAACACACGGTCAGAGCTCTTTGGTTGATCAATGCTTGTGTGCTTGTAACAAAAAGTGGACAAAATATAAAGGAAAAGAAATGCTTTATTATACTTCTTCACTTTTTATGTGACGTGTCAGCACATGCAGTAAATTTCGCGCACCACAACCAACACTAACTGAGCGGCAAAATACATCAAAGGTGTTCCGCGTGTTCTGTAGAAAAACAATGTAAAATTCCAAGTAGATGGCCTTGTCTGTGTCGTGATAACAAAATCATTGTCAACGTCTTCACTTGTGAATGACTCGAATTGCGCCGAACTGCTGTTTCCATCAAGCCAGCGCAGTGAAATACCACCGCAGGCATATGTGAGGCATCACACTGCTGCAAGAAAAATAAAATTGTGAGGTTTTACATGCCAGAATCAATACGTAATAACGAACCACACACAGAGACAAAAAGAAGCGGCGTTTACATTCTTGTCTTCAGTAGAATGATAAGCGAAATGGAATGGTAGGTGTGGTCTAATGTTACTTGACAAGCCTTATAAATGTTGTTGTATTGGAGAGTCTTCCCATGATGCCTTCACACTCAGCCGTTAACGTTACATCAAGCCAATGAGGGACAAGTACCAGTATTAGGACAAGATCAAACCCGCCAAATGTTACTTTTGCGAAATAGGTATTAATGTGGAAAGGAGCATTTAACAGCACATTTGCACTGGCACTGCAGTGCAGACAGAAGCAACCGGAGGGGGTGCAGGTGGTAACAAAAGCGGTAATCTAGTGTGATACAGTTGCAAAGAATACGGTGAAAAAGCAAGAACATGTTATTTCTCTTCTAATAGCGTAACAGCAGTCAACGATGTATTTAGACGAAAAAAAGAAGAAAATCAGCCTGCTGCTTGAGAACTCAACACATTGAAGATGCCGTCAACAACGCAAACTTGGGAGTTGAAAACGCCACCAGCAATGTTACACTGTAATTACCTACACAATGTAAGGGCAATAAATGTAGTTGAAAAGTTGAAATTGAGACGCAGTTCGTCACTACTCACCTGCAAGCTGATGCATGAGCAGTCTTTTAACAAATAATGATCACTTTGTAAGGACTAGGAGGTCACTGTGGTCGCCAGAGGGTGCGGATGCACTTCATGCCGGCTCCTGCGTCTACGAATGCTTTGGCAGCGACAATCACCGCATGCCCACATAAATATGGTCTCACCGAAATCCCCTCAGCACCAGAAATCAGCGGATACCAACATCCAAGTGGGCCGAGGATTTTAGGCGCGAAGCTCCTTAAAGCGGCACCCGTTCGTTCCTCGTCGTAGGGCGTAACCAGTCTTACGTTTTGACCTGCAAGGTGGTGCCGGTGGGAGATTTCTCCTGTGCGTTGTTGAACAATAAGAAATTCGCAGCGTGTTCGTTAGCTAAAACCGAATTCTCCTGTCTCTCATTCCCTATTAGCAGCCACTGGCATGTAACTTGAGCACTATCTGACAAGAAAGAGTTGCTACGTTAAACTCACGCGGCGTAACCTCCTTGGTTTTAGACAGGTTTAGCGAGCGTTGGGCCGCAGTGCGATGAATACAGTGAACTAGTATATACCATGAACTAGAGGTGGTTAAAGGTGGGAAGTAGTTACGATGCGCAAGCCGTAAGAAAGTGTGCGTGTGCCACCTCTCGTTTAGTCCTTGGAGTGTCCACTAAATGGTGGTGCTTCTATATGCGGAATATATGATGAAAAGATGCAAGATTGTGATACTTGGAGTGTTCACTAGATGGACAAACGGACACACAGACGGATACATGGAAGGACGCATGGATGGCTGCACGGACGCATGGATGCATGAACGGACGCAGGGGCGGATGCATGGACGAACGCAGGGACGGATGCACGGATGGACGTGTGGGCGCACGAACAGACGCACGTACGGACGGGCGGATGGACGCATGGACGGTCACACAGACGGACGCATGGACGGACGGAAGTAAGAACGAATAGACAGATGGATGCTTCGTCCCACTATCCATCATTCGCCCCGTGGATATGCACCCTTTTTTTTCACCACATCACGGTCACTTTCTTGCATGTGGTGGTGCACGGAGAGGCGCAAAGCCAAGTCGGGCTCTCCGACGTACAAGGCGGTACTAAACGCAATGGAGCCGGTCCGGCCGGCAGCCGGAGCATTCGACGGCGACGCTGAGGCAAACGATAATTATTTTCAACAAGGAAATGCCGAAATGCATTACGATTGGGCTGATGAAAAGAGATGGCACACTGTCAAAAGGCGACACAGTCGAGGCAAAGACAAAAAATTAGCCCCGTATCGGCATGTTTCCCTGCAAGCATAATTGAAAGACGATAGTCTTGCGTCTAAACAGAGTTAATAAAGAGTTTATTTGATGTTCTGCGGGAGAAAATTGGTGAATTGCATTCTGGAGGCACTGCGTTAAAGTGTCTCGATGCGTGCAGCGAAGGCGAACGAGCGTATCGGGGCATGTTAGAGACAAGCGCTATCTGGCAGTTATCTACAAAAACGAAGGAAGGCGTGCACGCCTGTCTCGGAAGCGATGAGGTGTTGAACCCAAAGCGATATGCAGGTGCCACCACCGTGTTGTCGTAGTAAAGCGTTGGAAACACTTGCTTTTTTGAGCTGCGCGTTACATTGTCAGCGCAGCGTGATAAACGCTATAGTACTTAGAATTTCTTATGTATGCTTTTCATACTATAAAAACACACATACAGAATATTGACTGGTTGTTATGGTGCCTCATATATGCGCAATAATTGCTTTTTAATAGACAATCGCACAGAAATTTCTCATTGTTTCAGTTTTTTTAAATATATTTTATCTTGATACTGCTAATTGGTGATTACTGTAATGCGTTATTTCAAAACATATGTTTCTACATCTGTTAAACTTTTTGAATTTGAATTTTGTGTCCAGAATGAAATCTGAATCTTGGTTCCACTTCACCTGAGCAAATGTATGAGTGGAGGGACCTTAGTCAGGCAGGGGTGATCTGCCTTTAGTTCCTTCAAACTAGGCAATCTTTGTTTTTTGTCTGAATAAACAGTGAATGAATGAGTGAATGAAACTATGAAGCCCCGCCATGGTGTTCTAGTGGCTAAGGTACTCGGCTGCTGACCCGCAGGTCGTGGTATCAAATCCCGGCTATGGCGGCTGCATTTCCGATGAAGGCGGAGATGTTGTATGCCCGTGTACTCCGATTTGTTGCAAGTTAAAGAACCCCGGGTGGTCAAAATTTCTGGGACCCTCCACTACGGCGTCTCTCATAGTCATATGGTGGTTTTGGGACGTTAAACCTCACAAATCAATGAAATCAAATCATGAATAAATGTACTAACGCTGAAACTTGAGAAATGGTGGTGGGCACTGTAGATGGGGTTGGTCGTTTGGGGTATTGGTTGATGCTGTTTGGGGTATTGTTATTGTGGACAGACAGACAGACAGACAGACCAAAGATTCTTCATGGAGGTATCCTAAGAAAGACTATTGTATTTAAAACAAGGAACGCGGCGTCGATAGCAAGCGTGAAGGCACCAATGGTAGTGCAGGGATTACGCGAAAGACGCAAACCAAAACCCAATATGCACAGCTCGGCCGAATTGAAAAGAGGAGCAGGAGGCCAAGGCTACCTGCTGGTGACTATAAGGTGGTTATTAGACCAAGAAGAGGACTACGCGTGGCTCAGGTCTGCCCGACGGAAATCAACAGGTGCATCTACGAAGCATCTGGCATATGCCGTGCCAGGACAGAGAGTGCGATGTCATCTTTACCAATAAGATTAAAAAATCTTAGTGGTAAGCCCTCCTGATTAGAAAGCTGTCAGCAACGAAAATGGGCAGGAATATATTAGCGAAAATGGGTATCACATACCACGTTCAGCACTTTGAGAAATGCGGCATTCCCACCTTTATCCACTTCAAAATCGTGACAAAGCCGCTTCCTAGAAATATGAACCCCGCCACATATTCAGAACGCAGACGCCACAGAGCAAAGGCGCTGCTCAAGGCACACGGGACTGATGAAAAGCACCTGTTCGTAGAGGCGAGCCTGTACTCCAAGAAGAGGGCCCATGTTGCAGCGGCTGTAGATGTGACCGGGAACTGCACTAATGCCTGTAATGTCCTGATTCGTGTTGTATACAACATGAATTGGGGAATCTAAGAGGTGGCCATCATCATGGCTTTCACTTCCATAAAACATATCTTCATTCTGAGTGGCTCACAGCCCGCGATTAGGAATTTTGCACGCGGACGCATTTCGCAAAGTGCCCTGCCCTGAAAATTCTAACGAAGAGCCAGGAACTGGTGGATTCAGAGGAACGTTGAAATATATATATATATATATATATATATATATAGATATATATATATATATATATATATATA